CCCCCCCCCCCCCCCCCCCCCCGCCCAAAAGGATGTCAAGCCACACCAAGGGAAAGCTGAGTTTACAGTGCAGTTCTCAACCTGTGAGGACGACCCCTTTTGGGGTCAAACGACCTTTTTACTGGGGTCTCATATCAGAGATTTCCATTACATTTTATAAAAGTAGTAAAATTATAGTTATACAGCAATAGCACCACAACATGTTTTAAAGGGTCGCAACATCAGGAAGGTTGAGAACCACACTGGTCTACAAACAACATATAGCACATGCTATGGGAACAGAAGGGGAGATAGCAAAGAAGACCCGGTTCCAGTGTCTTCCCTGCCCTGAGCTAGGCTGCAGCCCTGTGCTTACAAGTGCTTGCCCACTGTGGGTGTTCCTGCACCCTCCTTTCATAGATCCTGTCCTAGGTAGGAGTGCTGTGAAGTCCGTGTGAAACAAAACACTCAGTACACCCCACAGGTGGCAAGCCAGGCTCCATCCTAAGCATGGTAGATGGACGGAAACACTCACCGGAGGCACCTGGGGCCTCACGCAGCCCACCTTCCGGAGTCAGCAAACCGTACGAATAATGTGAGGAAGGAATTTGTGATTGGAAGAACAATAGACCTGGAAGGGGCCAGAGGGGCGGGAGGGGAGTGCTGTTTTAGGCAGAAGCAGCTGAGACAGACTCCCTGAAGAGTATTGGACAGTGACTGTAGCCATGGCGACCCTCGAGAGCATGGCCAGTGCAAGGGCCCTGTGTCAGGAATATGCTGTGCAGATGCACAGAGCAGCGAAGATGCAACTGACAGGGACAGAGGGACAGAGGGGAAAGTTGTGGATGAGGTCAGAGGGATAGTGGCAGCCACTCCACAGAGGGGTTTTGCTCCATGGAAGGGCTTGAGCAGGGTAGGAAAGAGAAGCCCCCGTTCACTTTGAAAGGAGTCTTCGTGAGGGCTGGGAGTGTAGCTCAGTGCTTAGAGTGCTTGCCTAGCATGTGTGAGGCCCCGGGTTCAATCCCCAGCACCACCTACAACAGACATGGTGGTGCATGTCTAATCCCAGTAGTCTGGAGGTGAAGGCAGGAGGATCAGAAGTCTGAGGTTATCTTCAGCTGTAGGGCAAGTTCCAGGCTTGCCCAGCCTCCAGGAGACCCTGTCTCAAACAAAACAAAACAAAACAGAGGAAAAGAGCCCTTCTGACTGCATGGAGAAACTGGACTTTCTAGCCAGAGGAACTATTCAGGCCTCCCTGGCTCTAGCCCAACCCTGGAGACAGTATGTGTGATTCTCCCCTGCCCTCTGCCCGGGACAGAGTATGGTGTGTCTGATGAAGTCAGGATGCCTCAATGGGTCTCTCACTGGGCCTGGTCTGTCTCTCTGCACATACGGGCTGTCCTCCTAGCTGAGCGGGCCTCAGGACAAAAGGGTGTGTCTCTGTCACAGGGCAGGTCAGCTTTGCATGCCTGGTGATGAAGTATAGGGTGTTCTGGTTCTGAGGCCAGGAAGAGGGTGTGTGTGGGTATCAGCATCACAAGTTGTCTGATGATAGATAGAGAGGAGGAACACTGCCAAGAGAGTCCTCCACTAGGCTCTGGGCACCCGTGGTCCAGGGCTTTGTGATCCTGGCTCAGTGTGTCTGTGCTGTCGCTGGAGGTCTCCGGCTTCTGTAGGATGGACCTTGGTGTGGGATCCTGACGGGATGGGGCAGAGCCATGGCAGGGGTAGGACAGAGTTCTGGCAGGGTGGGGTGAAGCCCTGTCAGGAGTTGGGGAGATTCTGCTCCCCACGAAATGCCACTGTGATATATTGTGTCGTCAAGGTGTCAATGTGTTCCTGGCATTGGATGGACCTTTGTTTCTTCGTTGAGACCTCTTTGGTTGCCACCGTAGGTCTGAGTGGCTGTTACAATATCCCTATCCCTGGTGTTTCTGATGCTGTCACCATGGAGGTGTGAGGGTTTGCTGAAAAGCATGCTCCTTATTGCTGTGATGAAATGCTTAACAGAAACAAACTCAAGAACCGTAGCAGACATGGTTCCATTATGGCAGAAGGCAAGTGTGATGGTTTGAATGAGAAATGTTCCCCCGTAGGCTCCCATATTTGAACACTTGGTCCCCACTTGGTGCTACTGTTTGGGGGGGTTATGGAACCTTAAGGAAGGTAAGCTTTGAGGGTTTATAGCCCCACCCACTTCTTGCTCTCCTTTCTGCTTCCTGTTTGTATATTAAGTATAACAAGCCAATTCCTCGCTCATGCTGCTACGCCTTCCCCACCATGATGGACTGTTATCCCCTCTGAAACCTTAATCCAGAACGAATCCCTTCTTCCTTTAGTTGCCATTGTCAGGGTGTTTTATCACTATTAGCTGATTAGTTACTATAGTAACTAATTAGAAACTGGTACCGGAAGAGGAGCTGTTGCTGTGAGAACCCTGGCCCGGTCGGTGGCTTTCATGCTTTGGAGTATTTGGCGGAAGGATTTGAAACTTTGAGTCCTGCACACAGAGCTTAATGGGTCATTCTTGTGTGAGCTTAGAAGTTAACGGTGCTGAGAGAAACACAGACAGCGAAGGCCCAGCTCATGGGGTTTCAGAGAAAGCAAACGTAAGACCTTGGCGACTGGCCGTTAGTGTGACACTTTGGCTAAAAATCTGGGGCATTCTGCCCATCTCCCAAGACTTTCCAAGCAGTGTAATAATGAGTCTGTGGCATCCTCTTTCCTTAAGGAGGTCTACAGTGAAAAGGGGCAGCAGGTGGGAGAGAAAGGAACGAAGTGTGAAGTGTGTGTAAGGTAGGGAGAGGAGGCGAGCAGAGGAAGTTTGTTGAAATAGGAGCGGCGGCGGGGCTGCGTCCCCAACACCCCGGCCGCTTGGCTAGCTCATGCCCGAAATAACAATACACAAACTGTATTCATTTAAAGAACTGCTTGGCCCATGAACTCTAGCCCTTACAGGCTAATTCTCGCACCTGGACTAGCCCATTTCTAATGATGTGTGTAAGCACCCCAAGGTGCGCTTACCGGGAAGATTCTAGCCTACGTCCGTGGGTCTCAGCTTCATGCGTCTGCCTCAGAGCGCAGAGCTATTGCATCTACCCGGGAGAGCTGAGCATGGCGTCTCTGCTCCAGCAGAGCTGTCCGGTCTCTCCGGAAGCAGAGCAGAGTCTGACTTCACTTCCTCTTCCGCCCAGAATTCTATTCTGTTTACTCCTCCCATCTATGTTCCAAGCCATGAGGCCAAGCAGCTGGTTTATTATAACTTAACCAATGAAATCAACAGATTGATATATGACACTCCCACATCAGAAGTTCAAGGTTGCAATTATAAGCAAGAGGCTTGAATTGCCCAGAGATCAGAGTCCTTAAAGAGAAGCCTCCTGCTCAGCCCTGGAACAACGGAGAAGTTCCCTGAAGGCAAAGCCACACCCAGCTAAGGCTCCCTTCTAAAAGGAGAGAGCCCAAGAGATTTCCTCCAGAAAGCAAATATCCAGGGAAGTGTTTCTTCGGCTTCAGTGTAGAGAGACTCCTAAACTGCGGTCCCAAGGGCTGGGACTCCATCCTGAGCAGTCAGCTGAACTTGACAGTGTCACCCACTTGGTATGAGACGAGAGATGCAAAGTTGAGGAGGTCATGGAATCTTACGTCACCATTCCAGAGAGCCACCGAGGCTAGGCAACATGTGGCAGGGTCAGAGTCCCTGCAAGGAGGCTGTGTGTGAGTGGCTGCGTCTGATCCCATGACAGTGAAGACTGGGTTGCAGTGGAGAACTCAGGATGTTGGAGATGCCAGAGTTGGGAGCCATGCGCTAGGAAAGCTACATACAGCGAGTGAAAACAGACCGAGAGAGAGATGTAGGCTACAGAAAGGAAAGCTGGAGAGGCTGAGCTACGCTATGAAAGGGAAGCCCCAGATACTGGACATAGGGTTACAGGATTTAGAACTTACCCTGCTGGATTCTAGTCTTGCTTTGACCCAATATTTCTTTACTATGCCCCCATCCTTTCCTTTCAGGGTGGGAATGTATAGCCTGTGCCATTATATGTTAGAAGTATGTTATTTTATTTTTAAAAGGGGTCACAGTTAAGAGATTGCCTTGAATCTCAGAGGAGGAGACTTGAAACTTCTGAATGGCATTTAGACTGTTAAAGACAACGGGAACCTCTGAAGCTAAACCAAATGCACTTTGCACCCTGATATGGCTGTGAGCCCATGGGGGCCAGGGATGGAATGTCGTGGTTTAAATGAGAAATATCCCCCATAGGCTCAGGCATGTGAACACTCCGTTCCTTGCTGGAGGAAGTACATCATGGAGTGGCAGGCTTTATTATAGCTCCGTCCCACTTCCTGTTCTCCCTCTCTGCTCCCCTGTGCATAGATAAAATGTGATTGATTACCCAGTTTTCTGCTCCTCCTGCCATGCCTTCCCTGCCATGATGGACTATTATACCCTGGAACCAGAAGCTAAACATAGACCATTCCTTCTGCACAGCAACAGAAAAGCCATGAACACAGCATTGCCACATAGCGGGGAAGGTGTGGCTGGGGGAGGGGGGGATGGGTAACTGGAGAGCAGGCTTCATAGGTTAGAGATTGGCCCAGTGCCAGCCAAGCTTTCCGCTTCCTTATTCTGTGAAAATCTAAGCAATGGTGCCCTTATGCTCTCACAGCTATGTGTGTATGTGTGTGCACACATGTATGTATGTGTTTGCATATTTGTGTGTCTGAGTAATGCACATATATTATTGTATATATGTGTATTGCATGTGTAAATGTATCTGTGTATGCTTGTGTGTTCATATGTGTATGTATGTATATGTATTTGTGTATATGCATGTGTATGTTCACGTGTGTGTGTGTATTTATGTGTATATGTGTGTTGGGCAGGACATTGACTTCCAGGAAGCATCACACTGAAAGAATCTGCTCAAAGAATGGCTGTTAATGTTTGTACTGTTTGCTGTTGTACGTAGTGTTTGTTGTGATGTCTGAACCACGGTCCTCGTTCACCACTGTGCCAGGGCCTAGCTTAGTGTGAGGGTCAGGGTGAGGTGGCAGTTGGCCTCTCGGGGTGGCAACACAACCCCACGGATCTGCACTTGCCTACAGGTCTGAAGTTTGCCTGCATCACTGCTGAGCCACTCTGAGCAACTGCCTTTGCCTCTCTGGGCCTCATTTCCTCATTGGAAAAGTGGGACACGGGGCGGGGCGGGGGGGGCAGCTGTCCCATGTTGCAGAACGAGGGAGAGGATTGTATAAGCCGAGGTGCAGATGTTCCTGAATGCAGACAAGTGTCATTTCTGTCATTTTTAGTAGTACAGAGGCCACCTAGCTGAGGGGAACTTTGAGGCTTCACCCTACCCCTGGAGGAGGCAAGCAAGTCTGTGAAGACCCCACCACTGTCATCTCTCTTGGTATCTTGGGGCCCATGGGGTAGAGTCACAAATGGGGACTCTGGGATCCTCCAGGGATGACTAGAAATGCAAGTCCCACTCCTCTCTGTCCCTCAAAAGGACACTGGCACCACAAGTCTGTGCTCCTGGTTTCAGCTTCCAGCTGGGAAGCCCACTACAGGGTAGCCATCTCTGCCCCTGGAGAGTAGTCATCCCCCTGGAGTAGCCCTGGGAGCTCTGGAAGCTTCCATCAATTCCTCTCTGGCTCCTCCCAGTTCAGGGAAGCAGCCCCGACCCAACCCATACTCAAGAACAAGGCTGTTGATTCCTCATCTCCCAGCGGCATGGAGGGCCTGGCCCTGTCTCCCACAAGCCCTGCCTGGTCCCCATGGGCTTATCTGTCTGAAGCGTGGACATATGTCCTGGCTTCACAGCCAGGCTCCCCTCTGATCGGCTTATGACTCACATCTCCAAGCAGAGCACTTGGCACAGGCAAAGCCGGCAGCCGTCTGTGTTCCCAGGCCCTCTGAGGCGGCCCGGCAGTGACAGTGTGATGGGGGGGCCACCCACCTACCCAATTATCTCCTCGGTGGGTGCCTGAGATTCCACCATGAAGACATCATTCTTTTGGAGGACATTAATATCTTATCTAGGCTTCGTTCTTTAAATACAAGCCCCGCGGGACCCACAGCATACCTGAATGCAGATGAGCATGTCCAAACATTTTCCTTTCCAGCAGCAGAGATCCAAGTTCTCAGGCTCCAAACTCAGCAACCTTTTCCAATGCCACCACTTTCAGTCACTTACCAAACAGAATCTTGACCCTGCTAACATATCACACCCTGTGCCCAAGGCAGAGGCAAGCGAGGCCCTTCCCTGTTCTGTTCTCAAGGTTTGGAATGGTAAGAGTTACTCTCTGCATCCACGGCCCCTTGCAAAATGCCTCGAATTCAGAAAGAACTCAGGAAATGCTGAGCAGATTAACGAAAGTGATGGGCATGCCGCCTGGGGTGTGAGCATGAGCTGTGGGGCCGGCTACCTGGGTCCTGCTCTCTGGCTTTGCTGCTCCACCTGTGGTGGGATCTCAGGTGAGTTCCCAGTCCTCTGCCTCAGTCTCCACAGCAGGAGAATTGGTTTCTTGAAGGTTCGTGGGGGATGCGTTGAGCTTATCTCTATGAAGTCCTTGGACCGGTTCCTGCCGCACGTTAAACACTACGCAAGCGATTGTTCAATAGCGGCAGCTCGGCAAACATAACTGAACACACATGGACGGCATCTGGATGTTTGTTGGCTGGCTAAGAGCCACTCGTGGCAGGGGTGGTCATCACTCGCTCTGTCCTCGGTGGCTGGCAGGGTGTGGGTGCCAGGTCGTGCGTGTGCCTGGACTGGCTCTGTGTCCTCCTCAAGCCATCTTTGATTTCAAGTAGGCGCTAAGTGCCTCTGAGGTGGGAGCCGACTGGGCAGCCCGAGTTCTTGGAAATATGTTAGCATAGCTGCTGCCGACCCCTGATGGGACTTTTTTTTTCCCTGCCTGTTTGGGTGCAGACAGAAACTGTCAATACAGAACTGATCTTTATGGGAAAGAGAAGAATGTGCAAGGGTGGAAAGGGGGGCGATGGAACTAGCTGGAACAACCTGTACCTCCCACACCTACCCCAAGTCTGTGACTGACACTTGGTAAACACTGTTTGTGACGCCTGAGCGTGGCTTGGAACAGCCAGTCTCTTCCTGGTCCCTGGAGGGCACATGCTGTGATCTGTCAACTCCACACCCTGCCTGGGTGGGCGGGGCCCCAGGAGACCTCTCAGGTTGCCTTCTCCTTCCCCAAGTTCCCCCCTCAGTACTAGGGGGTTCAGTCATGTTCTCCTGGCTTTCCCTAGCTCTCCGCCTCGCTATCTGTTCCACTGTTTCAGCCCCACTGAACTGCCTTAGTTTGTTCATTTAGCAAACACACACCACAGTCTACAGAGCCACTTAGCAAACTCCAGGGTGAAGTGGACGCTGTGTACTAGGGTCTGGGGACCACAAATGTATAATCTAGAAGGATCAAGATGGGAATCTAAAGAAAGAATTTAGCTGTCCTTTGGGAGAAAGAGGAAAAAACTGTGAGTGTGAGGGACACTGGCCCAGAACACAGAGCCTGAAGATAGTCGGGGGGGGGGGGCTGCAAGAGGGGCCCATGAGTTGGCTTAACGGGCAGAGGAGAAAAAGACGATGTCCAGGGGACGGAGAAGCAGGCTTCAGAAAAGAAGTGGGGTTGTTGCTTTAAAATATAAGACAGTGTCATTTCTAAGGTTTTTCTAAAAACACAAAAAGCACAAAACCACTGTGCCAAGGCCTAATTATTTTTCAGTGCTGGGAATGGAACCCACTGTCTTTGGCGTGCTAGGCAAGCTTTAGTCTACCACTGACTGATAGCCCTGCCTCTCAGAGGTCGAATTCACATACAACAAAATCCACCCTTTCCTATGTACAAACCAATCACCGACAGCAGAATGCAGTCACTCAGTTATGCAAGATACAGAACCCTCATGACTTCCAAAGCCCCTCACATCCCTCTACAAAGATTCTCACCAGCCCTGAGTCGCTCTCAAACCCCGAGAACGGACTTGTTAGACTTTGCTGTAGAGACCCACACGCATGCTGCTGTCTGGTTCACCTCTCCCTCTGCTAGGCTGCGTCTAACATTCCTTCACACTGTGTATCAGGTCTGATTCCCTTTCCACTCCTGATCAATATTTCCTGGCACTAGCCCATGGTCTGATAGTTTCAACATCTCTTCTCCTGTGGATGGATGTTATCTTTAGGAAAGGCTGTTTCTACCCCAAAACTCGTGGCCTCGATGCCTTTCCTCCTCCTAGAGAAGTCCAAGAGACTTATTTCTCAGGGAAGGGGAGAGAACACAGAGTCTGTGCTGGCTTGTGTAAGTGCGGGGAATCAGGAGACACCGTCCTCAGCAGGCAGAGGCAGGGATCTACACAGTGAATTCCAAGTCAGGCAGGACTACATAGTGTAAGCCCGGAGAAAGAGAGGAGAGATGGGGAGACTATTACAGGTTAGATCTCAAATATCCCCAAGTAGCATGTGTCCTGAAAGGGTGGGATTTGGGGAGGGGCCGGTGAACTGATTCCACCACCGATAGACTGATCTACATTACAGCCGCGGGTGTTTGGAGGACAGTGTTGTAATGACAGGCCTTCTCCCACTTCCTGCTTGCCGCCAGATGAGCTGGGCTCCATTCTTCTGCCCTGCTTTGCCTCCTCATCACAGATCCCAAGGTGAGCAGTTGGACCCAGGCAACCCTGTGCCAATCTGTCCTGTGCCGCTGGTTCACGTAGACACCAAGGGGGATCTAGAGCAGTGTACCTCAGATGCCCTGTTCGTTCCGGCAACTGTAAAACCTTAAATGTCTCGAGGGTGGAGTCCACAGCTCCGGATAGGATCAGGACAAGGAAGCCACAGGGAGGTGATAGCTGGGCCACCATCAACAACAGGGGATGTGGGCACATGCCTCAGGCCAAGAGGGGCCCAGGCCAGCACAGCAGTGCCCGCCAAGTCAGAGGCCAGATCTCAAAGACCAGTGAGTCAGACATCCAAGGCCAGAGAGGTAGCCATCGGCCCCGTATGGACAAGCAGCAGCCACCCCTGTCCACAATGCTGTGTCTCAGAAGAGAAAGACGGGGTGGGGGTGGGAGTAAGGGGGACGAGGTAGGTTTGAAGACAGAACTGTATCAACAGAGTCACCGTCAACCGGTAAAATCCTGTTTGCTCATTTAGGATACCCCAAGTCAACCCCACAAAGGGGCTGGGAGCAAGCTGGGGTCAGTCAGAGAGAGGGACAGCTTTGCTTCTGTTTGGTAGGATGAGGGACACCCGCATTTTGTAAACATCCCCGGGTGATGTAAATGTGTAGGCAAGGTTGAGAAAATTAGATGGTGGAGGAAACTTGAGAAACAGAGCCTGGGTGACTCATAGGGGAGGCCGTGAAAATGCAGGCAATAGCCGGCCCGGGGCGAGGCAGGGACCAGATGCTGATGTCAATCGAGGACCGCACTTTGGTTAGGAGGGGGTGGAACCATAGGGTCTGGTGACGCCCAGATGTCGTGGGTTGGATGGGTGAAGGCAGGGAGAGTTCCAGGTGTCTGGCCACCCCATCTGAGAGGCAAGGGGTCTTTGAGACGTGTTGGGACAATTGCTGAGCCGGGGCTTAGAGGTGGAGTGAGTTCCATGTTAGGTTCTGGTGACCAGAGAAGCCTGTTTGGTGTGAACAACAGAAGATCATAGACTTGAGACGCAGACGCCACAGTTCCTTGCTACGTCAACTCTCCTTGACTGACAAATGCCGAGTTCTAGTTTAAACAATCTTTGCATACTTCACTGAAAGGTTACAGTGACCCATGGTGTACGAAACAAATGATTCCCATTTTATATATGGAGAGACAGAGACATCAAGAGGACGCTAAAATGTCCATCTAGTAACTGGCTTAGCTTAGTTTTGAACTCAGGTCATTGGCTCAAGTGTACATATCAAATACCATATCATGTGGTCACCAGAGATGGGATCCCAATTCAAATTCTTTTAAACAGAACAAGAAAGTTGTTGGCGGATTAACTTTAAGGTCACTGATAGGCTCGGTGGTTAGGAGCTAATCTGATGTTCAAACCCTGCTTTATCCACAGTTCAACTTTCAGCACCACTATTTCTCCAGTGCCTCTCGGTAGGCATGACAACAATCCTGGAGGCTGGCGGCTCAGACCTCATCCTTCCAGCAACACCAGTGGAGAAAGCTGACAGTTACTGGCCCAGCATCATGGGTCATGGACCACTGCACCAGCCAATCACATACACCCACTAAGAAGGGTCCTGGAAACACAGATTGCCCACAGGAGCAGGCAGTTAAAAAGACTCACAGGAATTCTATTTTGTAAGGTTTTGGTTGGCTCCACCTACTGTGAACCTTTGACCATTGTCTCAGTGTCCCCCACCTTTGCCTGCTCATCTTCCTATGGGTCACTCAAGACACAGGCTCAGCATCACAGACCATGTTTCCAGCTGCCATAACCCTTCTCCTCTTCCTCTCCCTCCTCCTCCATCCTCCTCTTCTTTCTCCTCCTTCTTCCTCCTTTTCCTCCTCCTCCTTCTCTTCCTTCTTTTTCTTTTGTTTTTTTTTTCTTCTTCAAGATAGGGTTTCTCTGTAGCTTTGGAACCTGTCCTGGAACTAGCTCTTGTAGATCAGGCTGGCCTCGAACTCACAGAGATCTGCCTGCCTCTGCTTCCCGAGTGTTGGGATTAAAGGTGTGCACCACTGCCGTCCGGCCCCTTAATCCTTATTGATAGCTTCTAGAAGGGACTTCCTCCTTCAGCTTTCTGTCTTGATCCTCCTTTCTCCACCTCACAAATGCTAGCCTTCCACGCTTGCCACAGAAAGAAGTGATCTTTCTGTAGTTTCTCTCTGTATATAGTTTATTTCTTCATTTCTTAATAGTCTTTCAAAGTGCCATGCTTTGATTTTGGTGAAGCCCAATGTGCCCACGTTTTTTTAAAAAAAAGATTTATTTATCTTATTATTTTATGCATCAGAGTTTTTGCCCACATGTTCGTATGCATACCACCTCTGTCTTAGTTAGGGTTTCTATTGCTGTGAAGAGACACCATGACCATGGCAACTCTAATAAAGGAAAACATTTAATTGTGGTGGTTTGCTTACAGTTCAGAGGTTTAGTCTGTTATCATCATGGTGGGAAGCAAGGTAGCACGCAGGCAGACATGGTGCTGGAGCTGAGAGTCCTACATCTTGATAGGCAACAGCAGGTGGTCTGTTTCACTGGACGTCGCTCAAGCGTATGTGAGACCTCAGAGCTCGCCCCCACAACAAGACCACACTTCGTCCAGCAAGGTCACACCTTCTAATAGTGCCACTCTTTTTAGGGGCTCTTTTCTTTCAAAGCACGACAACCTCCATGCCAGGGTCTGCAGAGGCTGGAAGAGGGTGTCTTCCTGGGACCGAAGAATTTTCAAACTGTAAACCATTCTGTAGATGGGTACTAGGGATCAAACCCTGGTCCCATACCCACTTATTTTAATCTTATGGCTAATGCTTTTTTTTTTTTTTTTTTTTTTTTTTGGTGCTGGATTGAGGACACATTTGCTGAGCCAAAATCACAATGTCTTTCTGGTAGGGTGTTTGCTTTTTCCTGTTTTATCCATGGAAATGTGGTCCTCTCTGGTCACCTCTGTATGCATGGTGTAAGAGTCAGCTTCCGGGGGCGGGGCCATTCATCCTCCTTTAGGAACGCTTTCAGATGCCTTCAGTTAGAGGACCTTCAAATTTTTATTGCTCATTAAATAATTTTGAATAGATAGGGTCCACTGTTGTCTTCTGGAGACTGGAGGCTTTTCTCTGAGCAGTCAAATAGCCTAACCAGGCCTGGATTTCAAATTCCAAGAGCCCCCATGAGTGATGATTGACTCCCCGTCCAGTGCTCCGAGCCTCTGACATATTGGATGGGTCTTCCCAGTGTCCACGCAGGTCTGGGCTTTGTTGAGGCTTGTCTGTCTAGTTGGGGGTCTCATCTTGGCTCTCTGAGCCCTGCCCTGATCTGACATGTACCAGTCCCTTGAAACACACCTAGCAAAGCACCTAGAAATGGGGG